CATCATCCACTGTAGGTATTTCCTTCGGAATTCTTTGGCCGATATTCGCACTAGCGATGTGACCACGTGAGGTACATATGCCTATTGGCATGATATAAAATTGCTTTTCTCCACTAACAAGTAAGAGTTTTAAGAGTATTTTTGGTAGAAGTGTATAGGCCACACACTTTCTTTTTTTTGCATCGGCTATCGGAAATAGTACTGTGGTAACGCGATCAAAGGGGAAAGCATGGGTCAAATGAGGGATCAGGCCTTAGCCGTGGGACCTGATGCTGTCACGGCTAGGTTTTAGACTGTTTCAATAAGTTGGTTAAGCTGAGTGTAGTTGTGTGGGCAGCTGAACTGGTGTTATGAATAGCAGTTCTACTGATCTCCTGAAGTTTGCTTAAGCTATGAAGAATCGCAGCAGAAAGCACAAAGGAATCCTCGAGTGGCGGTCGCATTTGCCTCCAGTGGGGTATTTGGAGGGTTGTAAGTGCGGGATCAGGAGGCGAGATGCAGAGATGGGAGCGATTCGTGAACTACTTAATGTCTAGGCACACGGCGCATTCATACGACATCGATCATCGATCAATCATCCAACGCGCGTGAAGAGTCCTTGGTGAAAACCATTTTTAACCTTGGCTTTATGCGCATAGTTTCACTTAGTTTGAGACCTTCCATCCAAGGTTACCTTCTTGTGCCCATAGCGGGCAATGTGCGCCATATGGTGGCGCAACTTCTTCTTCTTCTCCCTAGCGTTAGTCCCGCGCAGTCGCAGGGTCCGCTGTCTTTGTCAGTCGTCGCCACTTTAGTCTGTCCAGGGCGTCCTCTGCTGTGGCCATGACTTCACTTAGATCCTTCTTGATCACATCTCTCCACCTCTTCTTTGGGGCTCCTCGCGGTCGCTTGCCTTGCACTTCGAAGTCCATCGCTGTTCTTATCGGATGATCCTGTGGCCTCCTTAGCACATGCCCATACCATCGTAGACGCTGTTCCCGTACCTTCAGCTGGACAGGGGCAGTCTGCATGACCGCTCTAACATCTTCGTTTCTAACTCTGTCCAGCCGCGTCCAGCCGCAGGCCCACCTCAGCATCCTCATCTCAGCGGAGTGGAAGCTGCCTTTCGTGGTTCTTGCATCAGCGAGCGATCACACGCAATGCTTCGTAATAGCATGTAGGCCTGATACGATCGGTACACCCCTCCTTATGAGGCGTTCTGGAGCTCTTTCGATCACAACACACACAGCGGGATTCAGTGGAACTCCCTTCACTTTTTTCATCCACGTGTGTTGAAGCGGCCTTAAACGCGCCTGATCCAGCCTGCATCAGGCTGGCCAGGCTCGCCTCCCAAGGTAGAGGAAGTCTTCACAACTCTTTCGATTGTCCTCATAGGCCGTTCACGATGGTCTGCAGCCCAATTCAGAGCTCAGGAACTTGGTCTTCTTGACATTCAGCCGTAGCCCGCCTTCTGCCAGGACCTTCTGCCATTGCTGCACCTTGGCCTGTAGTTCCTCTCTACTATCCGCTATCAGGGCGATGTCGTCAGCGTAGAGGATGGTCTTCAGTGGTCCTTCCATGAGGCCCTTCACCATGGTATCGAGCGTTAGGAGGAACAGGGAGGGGCTTAGAGCTGACCCTTGATGCACCCCAACCGCTGACTGTTTACGTTCGATTCGTATAGGCCGCCCCCGGTGTAGGCGGTGCGTAATGGCTTTAGCTTTTGCCCGCTCTTCGTATATGTCTTCCCAAGCACGATCAAGCGTTGTCTCTGGCACGTTTCGTTCCTCGCACGCGACACATCAAGAGAAGTGATGAGCGGTAGCGTGCGACGCTTCTGCCGGTCCGCAGCGAAAGGCTAGGCCTGCGCAGGGTCGGCGCTTCCTTCGCATAACCTTCTCCATACACTTCGCAATGCGCATGAAGATCGCGCATCCGTTTGTAGACCTCTTTCGGCTGCAACGACCGAACTGTTTCCTCAAACACCGAGACGACTCGGAGAACCCAGATCGCCCAAGCTTCTTATCGACCAAGCCCGCTGGATAACCACTTCAACTGAGATATGCGACGCTCTATGCGCCCAGCGTCACCTGCCGAAAGCCGCTCACTCGCCCATCGCCCCTTCTGTCTTCGACGATGGGACGATGGTACTCCCCTGTCCTCCCACCATCAGCTCGCCTCTTTTACTTCCTGTTAACCCCCCCCCCCCCCCCCCCCCTGCTCAGCAAACAGCAAGCGTCGTGAGGGCCCCACCTTATGGCCCGTATCTCGAGCGGCTTACGATGCCTCGAATGGCACCCCCCCCCCCCCCCCCCCCACACCCCATCGTGCCAAACGACTCCAATCTTAATAACCTTAATCCATAAACAACCAACGAAACCCACCACCCCCACCACCACCTAACTCACCGACATAAAGCAAGAGCTAGCGATACGACACCAGACTCGCTCGGCCCTCTGCGCTGAAGACTAGTTCTTCCGTGGGGAACTCCTCGTTGACAGCCAGTGAACGTAACTCCTTCCACTATCCTTAGACTAGCGCTGCGCTTCTCTATCAGTGACAACCCACCCAACCCCCCACCACCATCGCTGCCTTTTACACTTTTCACCACCCTGATGTCTTGAGTAGCACGATGGCCGGGCCTTAGCCAGCCTGAAGACGAACTTCTCTGCGTTTTTGCTGCTTCCCAACTTCTCGTACAAGGCGTCCATCTCCGTGTTCTTCGCCTTGGCGACAGCAGCCTTGGCGACGCAGCCTTAGCGAGCCTCTTGCAACTCCTGTAGGTGGCGAGGTCTTCGGGGCTCCGGGTCTTCTGCCAGCGCTTGTATGCTTCCTTCTTCTGCTTCACGACTCGCTGGACCTCCTCGTTCCAGAACCACGCTGCCTTGTCTCCTCTGAATCCACCTCGCGTCTCACCCAGGACCTCCTTGGCACATCGCAGGATGGTCTCAGCCGCGTTGCCCCAAGTCCATTGTACTTGGCCCGTTAGGATCTGGGAGACCGACTTCCATTATCTTTCGCCTGAGGTCATCCTTCTCCGCTTGGTGCAGCTTCCACCACCGGATTCTCCTCTCGGTTCTTACCCTTGTCTTCTTGGGAAGGTCTATCGCAATGTCTGCCAGGAGGGGCCTGTGCTGGGGAGGCCAGTTTCCCGTCTGTCTCCCTCCACTGCTGTAGGTTACCTTTTGAGACTTCCTTTTCGCGAAGAACGTGCTGCAGACTGCCAAGTCGTGGGCTGTAGCCAGGTCCAGAACCCTCTCTCCCTCAGCGTTCCTCGTTCCTATCCCTCTACCTCCGTGCACTCTTTCTAAGCCTCTTCTGTCACTACCGATGTGACCATTCAGGTCACCTGCTATGGTCAGGTAATCACCTTCCGGAACCGATCTTATGGCTTCGTCCAGGCTCAGATAGAACTCGTCCTTCTCACTTTCGGGGCATCCGGTTGCGGTGCGTACACTGAGAGTATTGACCAGTACCCCTCCTTCGTGTCTATCCTCACAGCCATGATCCGATCGCTGATCCTGTTCACAGCGGAGACATAGTCCTTGAGCGACTCCGCTACCGCTATGGCCACGCCGTTCCGCTTGGTGTCTTCTCCATTGTAGTAGAGCTTGACACCTTCCCCGATTTCCTGGCCTTAGCACCTTTCCATCGCGTCTCCTGAAGGCATAGGACTTGGATATTCCTGCGCGTCATCAGATCAGCAACCTCTCGGGACTTCCCAGTTAGCGATCCTACGTTCAGAGTCCCAATTCGAACTAGCTTCTTTGGCCGAGGCCGTTCACTCCTCGGTAGCCCTCGCATACTGACCACAGAACTCGGGCGGGGGTTCTGCGCGCCACTTCCGGGTGACGTCCTAGCTTTATCACTGATTCTTTTTCGACTTTAGACATATTTGTTGTGACGGGGGTCTTCATCAGCCGGCCTGTCAACCTGGGCCTGACGCTGGTACTAGAACCATTTTTGCAATTTTTGCAAGGCATGGTTTAGAGCCTCGGCAGGGATCGAACTCGCGGTTTTTCAGAGGTGCAGACATGAGTCTAACCTCTTAACCACTCGGCTATCCCTGCCTCGCAAAATTATTTCTTTATTTTTTATACAGTTAATAATAGTTTCAAATATGCCCGGAAATATACCCCGTATATACTCTCAGCAATGTGGAATAACATATCTTCCCAGGACCTGGATGGCTGGATTTTTGACAAACCACAATGAAATTTTACATACACTTTTGCCTTAATTTACCATACTTTTTCTATTTGATGGGTGGCTTACCCATGGTCCACACGTCCCGAGACCCCTTCCCCTTTTTCGGTAATGAAATCACTGCTGTCGGGCGCTTTTATTTCAATCCAAAAACCCAAGTGAAGTGCATTCTACATTAGATTTGAGATCCCAGTAGCGCTTCTTCCAGCGACAGCTTTTTGGTTTGTGTCAGTGGTTCATAGCAGGATTCCCCAGCAAGATTGGAGTCGAAAGGGAGATATATACCTACATAGTCAAAAGGCAGTCAGACTTATTGAAATTGCGGAATGAAGCTTTGCAGTGACAGGTATGACCCAGTGACCTGCTGCTCGCCCTTCACACGTCCGCCGATAGGTAACCCCTGGCGATCAACGGGCTAAGAGGGCTCTCATTTCTTGGCTACTGGGCCGTTGCTCATGGTTTTTCCTTCATACCTGCACCAACTAACTTAACTCCTAATGGACTGCCTTCTTATGGTGAGCTTCAGCTTTGAATGCTCATATGCTGAAAATGCATAGCAAAAAGGTAGGAGAAAGTGGGTACACTCCTGTACACTGCAAACCTAGGTAGTTGAAATAGCTTGGATTTGCTACTCAAATGGTTTTCACCACAACTCCGACAGAAACTCTTCATTTTATAGCAGGACGAATGCAGAATTAATATTCAAAATTAAGAAGAATTTTGCGTTATTTAACTTTTGGAAATATGCCGAAAAGATCATTATATACTGCAAATATTCTGGCTGATTCCTAAAGCCGTGATTACTCAAGAAATTGCTAGATATGTTGTTTTGTTGTAGGTGATGCCGTCTTTTCCGCTGAGCCAGACGTCGCTATTGAACTAGGATGAGGCTTGGACGATTTCATCTGGAAAAAAAGTTAGAATGAAGAACACCTTTCTCCGCTCCGACACTAGACTAACTTTTTCAGTGCTTGTCAGCGGAAGTATTTTTTCGGCTGAGCTATACTCGCTGCTACCTCCTGTTGCCTTCCCTTTTTCGGATATCGATGCAGTGACGCACGTCGCCAGATCCTGGAAGAAGAGTGCAGAATGAGTGAGTTCTTCTGTATAGCGCTTTAGTTGACCAACAAGATCTCCAAAGGTTGCCATCCATTGCAGTCGTTCATCAGGGATGCTTTCGCCGGAACCTATTGGTGTTTTCGTTTTCGTTAGTTCAGTAGTTGATTTGCATGTGATCAAGCTCTGCAAAAAGTTTACACTGGAAAAGTCTTTTATCAGAAAAACCAGTGAAACGCTTACATTTGTCTTGCTTTTTTGCGTTTCCTCTGTTCCCCCAATCATTTGTTCAACTTCGGTCCCAATTTTGACGAGGGAATTCTGTGCGGTGTCGAACACAAGGGTGTGAAGACTCACAGATCGCATGTCTTGCAGAGCGTGTTTCTGAAAGCCACCTGTAGGGTAAGGTTTTCCAGATGATAATTTTTGGTCGTACCACGTCTCCACTAAATGAAGACTGCATAACAAGAGGTCCTTTATCCTTGAAAAGGCTCATGTCCAGTTTCTCCGACCTAACTTCTCTTGGCTCCTGAATTTGTTGCTTCAACCTACAGTTTCCTTATTTTGAAAGAGTTTGTGAATTAGGTGCACATAAAAATGGTAATAAGTCATAAGAAGAATATACGTTCAGTGAAAAGGGTCGGATTTGAAAAGGGAATTCTGCAATTCCCGATGAGTGCTCATGCGCCTCTAGTCAGCACATAACCTAAAGCGAGGAAGGGCGACCAGCATAAGCACATTTTTATGATTCTCAGAAGACTGGGGAAGAAAAAGCGCTGAGATTGAAGCTAAATTGAATCCATTGCGAAAATTGAGCAAACATCAGAGGTCAAGGTATGGAGTGTGTTAATTCATCTTGTAATGACAAAGGTTAAAAGTCTTTAATCGCTCACCGTCTTCTGTCGGTTTCTCCTCCGTTGTCTAGCTCTAGCTCTTACTTTAGCTGAAAATTAGGGGAAAGTTTATGATAAGGAATTACCCAGCTTCGCCTGTGGTGTGGCTGCTTTATGACTTACCTTTGTAGACCTTCCTAACATTGTAGTACCCATAAATAAGTACTGCGATAACGAAGAGCGCTAATGGAGCTATGAAGGCGAAGAGAAGAAAGTACTGCCTTAATATGCTGTCACATAAGCGAAATTCAAGGAGTTAACAATAGTCGCGGATGGGGCATGAAAAGAATAGAATACGTTAACGGTGAGCACATAGGTTGAGGAATTCTTCAAGTGGAGGAGCTGTAGCTGAGTGTATTTATTACGCTGAGATGAAACTGTGGTCATTGCTCACGCAATTTATAAGATCCAGTTTTGGTCCGCCCCTATCGCACGCATTTCAACATAGGTTTCAGTGATATTGGGTATGGCCGGGATGTTGCATTGAGTAACATACTGCATTCAATGGATTTGACTGATGGTATTGAGGAAATTAGGGGCCGTATGCTATGCTCGTCGTCTATGGCGGAAGTGTGTAGTGGCCTAGTGGCACGTCGCCCGGCCAACCAAGCCTTCCATCCCTCCGGGGTCGGTTAATTGGTACCAGACTTGTCTGGGAGGATAAAAACACTGACTTGTACATCGGCTGGCCCCGCAAGTCATTGTATAGGCCACATCGCATTCAAACGCCACTACGAATGTACAAATGGAAGTAGAATGCGTGCCGCATCCCAAAAAGGGATTGATCAACGGCAAATGCTTTATCTGGGGGCGGAAGTGGTGTAGTGGCAAGTGGCGCGCTTACCACGCGAGCGGTCCGGGGATCAAATCCTGGGTCGTGAGTCGCCCGGGCCAACCAAGCCTTCCATCCCTCCGGGGTCGGTTAATTGGTACCAGACTTGTCTGGGAGGATAAAAACACTGACTTGTACATCGGCTGGCCCCCGCAAGTCATTGTATAGGCCACATCGCATTCAAACGCCACTGCGAATGTACAAATGGAAGTAGAATGCGTGCCGCATCCCAAAAAGGGATTGATCAACGGCAAATGCTTTATCCTTTTTATTTATTTATGCTCCCCGATAGGTTGGGGGACGAAAATCCCTTTAAAATTTTCTGTCTTCCCAACTGGGATTGCCCTGATAAAGGGCCTACATTTAATGTATGTATGTAGGTAAAAGTAAACATGCACTGAAAATGAAGAAACTATATCGTTCAAAACAAATAAATTTAAAGGAAACTTTGGATCATACAGCTTTGGGTAAGGATAGCACACGGCCTCAGATGATAAAACAGTGATTTCTCGTAGCTTGTAATACCAATAAACACCATCATTTTTCCAGAACTAACAAAGTCTAGCAGCCGAATGAGCTTTGGATAACTAATACAATTACTTGGGCTGCTTATTATCAGCCCTCAGCGTAAACATCTACCATGCTTTGGATATGGGATGGTTTAGCGGTCGAATAACTTCTTTGCCGGTGATGAGATAGAAATACCAATACTTATCGTATTGCACAGACACCGACCATTCAAGAAGCTCGGACAAATTAGCGGTCGAATAGGTCACGACTACATAGCGAGGAAATGAGGTATTTCCTTATCCCATATCTGGGTAAGAACTATGTGACATTTGCTTCTGACGCTCCTTATCAGCTCCTATCAGCCCTTATCACTTTCTGGTCCCCATCAAATATGTTCCCGTCCCATATCATATCTGCAAACAACGCCTCAATGCTGCTGGGCCTTGCGCTGTCAATGTCGTGACATTTTCCTTCCAACGCTTCTTATCAGCCCCTATCAGCTGTTATCACTTTCTGGTCCCCATCAAATATGTTCCCGTCCCACCCCCTATATCATATCTGCAAACAACGCCTCACTGCTACTGGGTCGCGCGCTATGCATTTCGTGACTTCCGCGTTCTAACGCCCTTATCAGCTCTTATCAGTCGTTATCACTTTCTGCCCCACCAAATATGTTCCCGTCCCACCCCCTATATCATATCTGAAATCAACTCCTGACGACTGCTGGTACGCGCGCTATGAATTTCGTGACAAACAGACGCACACACACACAGACATACACACGCACACACATACTTAGCGAATTATATATAGTAGGATAGGGTCTATTGTGTTTGTAATGGTACGGGAAAATAAGGAGACTTGCAAAAGCCTACATTACATCATCGCCATCCGTTTTGGATCCTTCGTTATATCGTGCAGGTTTCCACCAGGTTTCCCTTGAAAAACCAGATCCTTCCTCAAAGAATTACGGAGGTAAAATAGGTTTCACTTGCTTACGTTGTGGTAATTCGAGTCGTCGTGGGAGAACGAGCCGAGACCAAAGAGGTAATTTGGGAGACAGGCGTTTTTGCAGACGTTGGAGTTGAGGTTGTACTGTTTGAAACAATATTCTCCTTCACGGCGGGAGGCTTTGAAGGTGACAGTTCTTCTTGCATATGTGTGAGCGAATAATCAGTGGAAACGTTGGATTTAGTTAGTGGTGATAAGAAAGGGGTTCTCGTTTCTGAACTGGTACTAGCAGTAGGTTCTTCTTGTTGAGTAATGCTCTCTTGTTCGGAATATGTTACATCGTATGCTTTTGAGTGCGAAGTGACACCAGTGGTTTCACTAGATGTGATAGAGAAATGTTCTGAATATGATGTTTCTGAATTCGAAGTAGTAGTTGACGTAACAGCAATGGCGTCGTGATAGTAAAGTGGCGGCCTCTTGCTGGAAACTGACGATAGCTCTAGCGAAAAGTCAGAAGTCGTTTTCGTTTCCTTCAAAGAAACTGCTCTTGGTGACGGCTGTGGCGTGGTTACGCTTACTGAAATGTGATCACCATTTGTTCAGCTTTATCTGTAAATGCTGCCCCTGATTCTGGCGAAGTTGACTCACCTGCATCTTCCTCTACCGTCGTAGCCGATGTTGTTTCAGCGAGGGAATCTTCAGTTGGTGAGGGTTGCGATATAGTTTCATGTTTGTGAGGTGTAGTTGTGGTAGGTCTATCTGGATAGTAGACAGGTCTCGTTGTGGTTGTTGACTTCATGTTTTCTGCATTCTTCTCAGGTTTCGTAGTTAATGTTGTTTCGGAAGCGAAACGTTCAGTCGATGAGGATTGCAGCATAGTTCCAATTTCTGGAGCGAGATTTTTCGTGGTTCGACCTGCTTCGTTGCCTGACATCATCATTGTTGTTGTTGTTTCGGTAAGAGAACCTGCAAGCGAAGAGAAATGCTACATTGTCTGGATTCCTTTACTAAAGTAAGCTGACGAGTTGACTCAGAATTGTTTAGATGCTGTGGTTATGGTGAATTTTAGGATCTCTAAGGTGCGGGGTTTACTTCTACATGTTTAATTTTGAAAGATATGAGATCATCTTCAGTATGGGCCGGTATTTAACACTGTAGTTGTGGTTTTGCTAAAGCTACAGTTTAGTGAAGCTCATGTTGTGTCAGAACACCGTATACGACTTTTGATATCAAGATGAGCGCAATTTTATGGAACTGTGGGGAGAAAAAGCGGCCCCCCCCCACGTCTTGGACGGGATAAGTATGAGCAGGGCTTCTGAAGTAAGCTACATTAGTTGGTCACAAGGAGTATTCTCCAGATTTGCATCCAAATCTACCTCCACGATGCTGGACCCGGAGTTGCTTGGGGAAGGTACAGTCCATATCCGAGAGTTGAGATAGGCATGTCACCGGCGGCAGCCGCACTTGATGGAGTCGCGCGGATAAACTGCTCCTAAAATACATCGCTGGATACCAGCAAGCATGCTGGCAGCAGCTTATCCACGCAACCTTCTCGGCAGCAGCCACATCACTTCCGTTGACACGCTTACCTAAGGTTACGATAACTACAGTTCACCTTTCGCTTCTCGGAGGTGAACTGTAGTTATCGTAACGCGGAAGTAGGCGCCTTCACTCATCTGGGACCCTAGCGAAAGTAGCTTCAAGTCCAGTTAAGCAGTCCTATAAATTCGTGAGCGCCGGGTCAGAGGTTCAAAGATACAGCATACATGCGAGTTTCATTCGTTGAAGCTAGCGAACCATCCTTGAGCGCTATGAATCGCGAAAAGTAGCTCTCGCACTAAGAAGGGAAGGATTTCAGCTTGAGGTGGCCATTCGTAATGGAACATTTGCCTCGGGGTTTGTTCTAGTTGTTGATCTCGAATCATTATTTGCAAATGACTGCCCTTTCTGCAATAATTTTCTGATTCTGGTTCTGATTTGTGTCGGCACTACAGATTCTGAGTTGTCAGCAGTCATCCCATTCTAATTATTGTAACTAAACAGTTTTGATATTTCGACCTGGTTCGATAGAATCCCGATGATTCCTAGCGAACAGGACGCCTTGCATAGGGTCAGCAATAGTGTTACTCGGATGTTTCAGGAGAACAAGTATCTGAAAGGTGTATTTGTTGACTTCCTCTTGAAATAAATAATGTGGCAACTCCATTTATTAGACATGTTGCCATGATGTTCCCTATAGGATTACGCTGAATAGTCTGTTCTCAAGAGAGGATTTGTGAACTAAGAAAGTGTAATTTTGGAACCTTCACTATCGTTTGAAACGTCCCACTCATTAGATGGACGAAATAGTGCGACCAAGAAACCCAGAACCATTCAAGTAGCCGCTCCTGAATACAGAGCCAATGGTGTCGATTGTCGTTTCATCGTTCACTTCAAGAGAGCAGTAGGTGGTGCAGTCAGTGACATGAAAGGTAGACTTACGTGAAGTGCTGCTCCCCCAAAACAAGCACCAACCTCCAGTGGAGGTTCAGGCATGAGAATGTACG